AGAGAGAATGCCACATACCTGCTAGAGAATCCACAGGTCACAACAATGTTTCCGTGGACATCAAAATCTGACAGGCTTCCCGTGTGAGCATCCAGGACATGCTCAACACGAAGGTTGGAGGGACTGTGGAGTCTCACTTTCCCTGCTGGATCTCCAGATACCACAAATCGTGGATGACCACGCAGGATTGGACACCCGTTTTCTCCCTCCACTTCCACCTGTCATTCCAGTCAAAATGCACATGTGTATGATTCACAAGAACATTGATAGTTGCAGCAGGCTTCTTCTCATGACTTCATCAAAGTAGGCAGGCATGGATGACTGACCCTTGTCAGAGTTCACACTAGGTTTTTTAAATCTTGAGTCGTGGCACCTAGCTTCAGCTCAGTTGGAACATGTTCAGGAGGTTCTCAACGAGTCCCACGGACTTAGATGTTTTGCAAATGAGTCAGGTAATACAAGTCGCTATTGCGAGTTAACAAACCCTGCTTTTACAGGGTGGTGCAAAAGTCATGCACCATAGGGGATTTCACAATTGCACTACATTAATTCTTGTTTCTTTCTTTGCAGGTAACTAGTGGCTGCAAAATTAACAAAAGTCAAGAGGGTGGAGTTAAGATATGTTCAAACATTATATGTACAGTGAATCAAAGTGTTTCCAAGTTGATGGTAAATGATTCGGACATTTACTGTAATTAACATTATGGTGGGCAACTTTTGCACCACCCTGTAGACTTTGGGGATCAAGGGGAGAGGGGGTAATGCTGTAATACTGCCACAACCCCTTGAAAACGAGAAACTCAAAATTAAACTATCCTTCTGACACTGCACTTATTTATTATTTACTCCAGTGCAGGAAAAATTTATATTAAAAAAATACTGGTCCACCCAAATTATTGCTTGACTAATATTCTGCAGCTTCAAGAGGGCTGGAACTGCACAGCTTTAAAATGTGCAATCAATAGCAAAAATATGGCACCTTCATTTGCTTGCTTCTGAAGACCATTCTAGGTGGGTGCCTAAGAATTTTGCTGGGTTGTTTTATTAACTTGAACTAAGTCAGAAGTCAAAAGTTCAGAAAATTGATGTTTGTTTAGGTTGAAAAGTTGGTTCAGGGTAGATTGACAAGTGCAGAGGAATCATTATCATTTCTTTCATAACACAACTTTAACTGGGTAACTGGTGGGTAACTGTGACTGGACTTTAGAATTGGTTAGAAAGCCTCTATGGCTAAGTAAATACTGTATTAGATGCATGCCTTTTTAACAATATGCCAAAGGAATACAGATGAATTACTTATAATGTTCATCAGTTTCAGCTT